CATTTGCTTGGGCTTTACCTCGGTGAGGCAAGATTCAAGCAGTATTCTGCTTCCAAACATAGTGTTACACTGAAAACCAGCCTCTGCATACATCAAGGGCATCAGTCTCTTGTTCATTGTTAAGGCCAGACCAAGCTTTTAAGAATAAATCTTGTAAAACTTTCCCATATCCCACTCTCCCCAGAGCTATCAAAAAGATTTCCCCTTCCTGAAGAACTTTGCTCTTTTCTTCATAACTCAAAAGTCACTCTCTGAAATAATACCAAGCTCCAGGAAGAAAAAAAAAATCACCTTGGAACTGAGCAAAAGCAGAAGATACAGAAAATATTTTATCTCAATGTATCATGGTTTGTCCTTCTTTTTGCAAACTATAATTTCCCAAAATAGTGGCTAGTAATGAAAGTGTCTTTTCCAGTTGTGAGTCGTATTTTCATTGTAGCTTCTTTGGCTTGAGCAGAGTTAGGCTGCTTTACACCAGCTGAAAATCTGATTCCTCAGCTACAGCAGTGTGACTCGGTGATGATTTCTAATCAAATAACCACTGTGAAATACCTGATTCACTTTGCACCCAACAGCTGTACTTTCAGCCTCTGTTCCCAGTCACACTCTGAAAACAAGCACAATAAGAAAGGCCGAAACAGCTGCAACTTCTCAACAGAAAAAAAAAGCGGTGAAAAAAAAACTTGTTGTCAGGCTCCAGCTTAGGAAGGAAGTGAAACCATTTTTCTTTTCCGTCTCATGCATGTCAGCTGTCTCAGAAAAATTATTACTGCTCTGTTTTGTAACAGAAACTCCACAATATTTGGTAAACTACAAACTCCAGTCTATTCATGGCCAAATACAGATTTAATATTTCTGATGCAGCCAAAACATGCTCAGTATGTCAATGGGCTGCAATTACTCTCCAGGAGAGCTTTGGAATTCACCTCCTGGCCTCAATTATCCTCCTTAAAAGAACTCATGAATCTTCTGTATTTGGACCATCCAGATCGATTTGATTTTAGTTTTAGATTTTGTCTGAAAAAAAAAAACATTTAGTGAAGGAGGATGTATTTTCTTTCCCATATTGGTGCTTTCCAGAGCTGTTTAAATCAATAATTCTGTTTAATCAAACTAAAAGCACAAGCAGAAAACAACAGGTTCTTTGGTTGGATGAAACATACATGCTTTTTCATTCTGAATATTACTGGCTCCTCAGAAGACTTTTTTTAAAATAAGAAAAATACATGCTATATTCTGAGTTTGGTCATTAGCACGGTTTTGATGGATAACACCATAAGCTTCAGTGGAAACACTTGTAAAGATAGGAACTATTCATTGTGGTATGTCTCTAAATACATCGAAAAACCCCAGAATCAGGTAGCCATCATCTACAGAAGGAAAAGTTTTGTTCTCAGAAACTACCTGTTAAAATTTCTGTTGACTTTTGCAGCAATGCTGTGCTATAGTTGTGTGGTAAAGAGAGAAAAATGGATGGAGATGGAAACAGAGTCAGAGATGAGGGGGCAGTAGGAAGGCAGAAAGTGATGAGCAGAAAAAAGTCCAAAAGGAGATGAAAGCATGAAAAAGAAAAGAAAGAAACGAAGGAGAATCAAGTGTTTGGCTGCTGGTCAAGTATAAGCAAGTATAATGGGACAATATGAGAAATATTTTCAAATCAGTTTCTTTCAGGTTGAGTATCAGTAGCTTGCTGCTGCACCTACTGTCTTCCACAGTGCAGGCCTGGAGCTCCAATTCGATCTAGGTGGCATCATCACTATGTTTTAAACATATTTTTTTTCCACCCCACAAAATGTTTCATAACAGTTAAAGGAAACCCTAAATTAATAGAGCAAAAATGTGAATTAAATGTTCGTTACTTTCACCATGCTACTTCACATTTGTGCACTTCAGGGTGCAGTTGTCAGAGACAGAGGTACTGTACTACTATTTCTTTTAATCTCATAGATGACTGCTAGTGCTGAAATTTATGTCACAGACTAAATTGTCTAAATATGGTAAGGTCTGGTATTTCAAAGAGATGAACTAGATGGGCTGAGCTGTTTTTCTAATTTTAGAAACGTATATATTTTTTTCTTCTGCTTTTCAATAGTTGGCATGAAAATATGTTTGCAAGATATTAATACAATATAACCAGTTTTAAAACAGGTTCCCTAATAGGTAGAATTTTGCAACTAATTGTCTATGGAAGTATACCTATCTCTGAAGGAGTATAGTCAACTTTGAATAGCTATAAGTTACAAGGGGATTGCACTGGAAAAGTCAATACTTGGAGGTACAAAGAGGTAAAAGTGTGAGTGCAAATAACTGTGCAAAAGTGAAGTGCATAATAAGTGAAAAACTGAGGATTCTTTCCAATATGTTCCAGTAGATTTGTGAATGGAAAAAAAAAAGAACATAATTACATTTCTTTGCTAAAAAATGTGAGGAAGCATTTGGGGATATCTTTTTGATAAATTAAGTCATTGTTAGATTATCCTGACTTTTTTTAACCCATTTTACTTCAGTAATGGTTATTTAATAGCTCAATTTTTAATGATCTCCATCTCATTGCAGTTAATAGCTATATTTCCATAGAAACACTGCAAATCTGCTTTAGTTGGGCATTTGCTAATGAACATGTTTGAAAGCACTTCCTAGATAACTATTAGTGGAAAAAAAAGGCAAAAAAAAAAAATTTAATGTAAGTCAACATTAAATTCTGCAAAGAGCTGTCTGCTGTATTCTACAGACCTAGTATTCCATCCAAGATCATTTAAAGCCAAAACAAACACTAACCTTTTTATTTGGAGGTAATGTCTTTAAAGGTTGTCAGTATGCTTATTCTCCTGATGGTTTCACCAAACCCTCAAAGAGCGAGCTCCTACTTATTACAATATGAGCCCAATGCTGACTTCCCCCTGTAGCTCCAGCCAATCTAATTCAATGATGAGAATGTTTCTGTTCATGGCAATGTGCAGTGTACACAATAGCCTTTATTTTGATCTGTAACTGAACCTGGAATGGGAAATGTATTCTGGAAATATTTTAATTGTTCCTTGAGTTGGGCAAATGTCTAAATGAAGTGTGTGGTGCAGGACTTGAATTAATAATTTAAAGAATGTTACAAATAAAAATAATGCTGCTTGCCACCAAACCTCCCTAAAAGCTTTGTGACAGCCCAGAAGAAATGCTGTGAGTAAGACAGTAGTTGTTATTAACTGTATTTTGTAGATAAGGAAATGACTTCAGAAAGGTTAAATAAATTGCTCATGTTCGCTGTGTGAACCAGTACCTACATTTAAGAACAGAGCGTAGGTTGGTCTGTGCTCAGTGTGTAGCTCTTAGCATTTGCCTTTCCTGTGCTGAAGACAAACTGCAGCTTACAGTTACTAAGGTCATCATGGGAAGTTCAGGTAAAACTGGCAGGGCTGTCAATGAATGAATGTCTTTTAAGGGGATAACATTATTTTCTCCAATTTTTCACCTGGTAAATTTTTGTGGTAAATCACTTTGACCTCCTTCCCTGTAGGAGCATTACGGATTTTGCATTATGGGGCAGGTTCTGTGTCCAGCCTGTGAAGAAGACAGAAGTGGAGGTGTAGGGTTCCCTTTGTCCGGAAAGGGTGCATATACTGGGGACAATATGTGACTCTACTTACTGCATGTGGTAAGGATGGAGAATGAGGGGAAGGGAGAGAAGAAACAGAAGGCTTGTTTTTATGAAAAGTTACGTGTGCCCAAGTATTTTCTTATGGAAGGTTACGGGAAACAGAAAAACTGGAAAGGTACAGAAACTGTTGGCCTTCTCATCAGGTTTCAGTTAATGATGGTTGGGGGACAACACTACTAACTTCAATGACCCTCTGTAGCCTACAGAGCAAGAAGGGCCAAAGACTGCCAATCCTTCAGGAAGCCCACTAGAAAGCAAAAAATACTGACAAAGTAAATGGACACAGGTGCTTGGGTGCAAGAAGGATCCAGGCTGAGATGCACATCCAGGCGGGACTCTGCGGCAGCTGGAAAAGCCAAGCTCTCCAAGAAGGTCATTACAAGATGACCGTACTTGAAATACGATGGACGAATAGAGGGAGCCCTTGGTGCTTTCAGAGTATTTTGTCTTCTGAGGTTTGATTTTGACTTACAAGTTTTTAAAAGACTGTTGGCTCTGTGGGTTAGATTTATTCTGTTAGTCACCTACAAAGAAGTCATGTAGTATAATCTACCTGTCCAGATTAGTTACGTGCTCAGTGGAGGGAAACAGACTTCTCAGGAGGGTGATTTACCACTTATTATGGAAAACTTGTTTTAGGATAGGAAGAATTGCTGTCCAAAAGAACAGAGTGAAACAGGAATGAGCAAGAGCCCAAAAATCTAAGATGCACTCAGAGAAATTTGAAAGTAGGTGGAGGAGGAACTAATCTCAGTTCTACAGCTCTGAGTCATAGGCTATGGGTACATTAGCAACTAATTTGGTGCCAGAGGAGTGGATCAGTATATGGCAACAACTAATGCTGAGGCTCCTGTTTCTACATTATAAGCTGTTTTGGCATTTTACATTGAACTAGGTTTAATCTGATCCACTAGACCAAATGACCATATGAAGCGTGTATCTTAAGCTGTTTGAAGAATCAGCCACTGTTTTGGACCTTTCTGCCCCAGCTGGGGTTGGAGCATATTTGATGTGCATCCAAGACAGAGCTTTCTGTTTAGTTTCCCTTGAAAGAAATCTAGTTCATACGGACCAGAACTGCTCTGTGAACTAAGCCAGCTGGACTAAGTGGAGATCATGGTAGAATTTGCTCCAAAACCATTACTCCAAACCACAAAGCCCATGTAAACACTTAAAATGCTGAATCCTCTATTAGGCACTTTGTTTGTATTCCAGAAGCTCTATTCTACTCAGCAATTTAGATTTTCTAATGCCCTGTTAAACTGGGGTAATACTACTCCTCACTTCTCACCACCCTGCTAAACTCCAGTATGTTTTTTTATTGTAAAGGTGTCATAATAATATTTACCTGCATGAAGCGTCCTTCTGAAGTTCCCAGATTAGCAATTGTAAGGTTCCCTTTGATGAAGACAGATATTGAAGTTAAGAGGACACTGTTGAACTGGCCCATGAATAAGTCAACCCTCTGCAAAGGAGTCGTAACTTCTAAGCGGTATTCATCATCTTGTGCTCTGCAGTATGAAGCATTTCTTGAAAAAGCCTGTTAGAAAATGAAGTACAGATGAGTACTGTCTTTATGAGTAGGAATAGATCTTTGTCAGAGTGAAGTCATTTAGCACAAATGCATTTGACCAAAAGTATTTTAAAATGTTTCAAACTTAATTGCTTCATCAGTTATGATGTTCCATGAGGAAAGCGACTTCTTAATATTATGGGAATGTTTCTTTTAATGTTTTTTTTTTCATCCTGTCTGTTGGGAATAAGACATAGGGTCTTCATTTAACCAGATGATATGTGTATAAGCACATATATCAAGGTATCCTTTCTCTTAGAGACTTTCGTAATGCTGCTTCTCCAGGGGTCTCAGAACTCTTTGACTGCAGAGCCTGCCCAGCAACACACCTGCTTCTAAAACAGTGATTCCTAGAAAATTATTCTCTAAAAATGTTGCAATTTTTTCTACCTTTTCTTGCATTAAAATAACAATTTCCAGTAGTCTTCTCCTTCTATTCTCTTTTCACTACCATTTTCAGTGATAAGACAGAAAAAGGGAGAAAAAGATGGAAAAAGAGAAAAAAGAGATAAGCCAGGATAAATATGTTTCTGATTGTATATTTAAATGAAACTATGGGCAAGCCAGCTTTTTATAATTACTTAGCCTATTGAATTGATCATCTATGGCTCATGCACTATTTTGTCCAAACTTCATATGTCTTGAGTGTACTATAATAGTTGCTGCATTTGCAGGATTTTCTCTTTCAGTTTGGGAATAGAGATTACACATTTTTAATTTTCATTGGAAAAATTATTGAACAATACACTTTAAGTTATCTCCGGAGAAGAATATAACCTGCTGTCCTGACAATTCAATAGTAATCTATTAACTGATAATTCCATTACTATTGATACTACATCATCTGTTTTGGTGAGATCATACAGATAATAATTGGGAACCCCCTAAAGGATCTCTAACCGGTTTAAATTTGGAAGTCATCTAGCATGTTCCCACTGTGACATACTTTATGAATAAACATGTAGGGAGATTATAAAGGATTTTATGGTGGCTCCCTCTGTTGACATCAATAGAGAGCTTCATTTTTCCTCGGTTTTTTATCGATTTGTTGTTACAAACATGTTTTTAAAAAATCTTTTAAAACTCTTGAATTAAACATTTTAAAGACAGAGTCTTTCCACTAAATTCAATAGATCTGGACCATACCCGTAAAGAGCATGTAGGAGTAATTTTATTTTTTTTTTTTTCTAGATTCAGATGTTTTTCCCTCAAAGTACTACGAGAAAGGAAGCAATAAACCAAGAATGTATTGCTAGCCTAACTGGTGAATTCTGGAAAAAACCCAAGGCATTGAAAATGCTATTAACAAAAATGTTCATCCTCATAGCTCAGTCCTTTGCTGTTGAATTGTAACATTTCTGAACTGTGTACAGCAACAGCACTGGCGGGTGAAGTTTTCTGTAATCCCTAGGAGTTGCAGTCAGCAGTGGTGCCAGCCTTTCTCCAGGTGCCCTGTCAATTTACTGTATCGTTTAGGTAAAAACCTGTGTAAGGCCAAAGAAGAGCAACTGAAGTCTCTGTGCACTGCCTAATGACACAGAAAGAAGGCTTCCAGATTAGATCTGATAGGGCAGTGACTTAACAGTTTGGTTATCCACATGCTAAATTGTTTTCTGTATTAGGGTTTGTATTAACTGTTAATGTACGGTGTGTTTTGCTCAGCAGGAGCTGAATTTTGCACTAGGCACACTGAACATTCATTGAATATGCTTCAAGTATTTTTAACCCAGTATTTGACTGGGTTAAATCATCAACAAGTCACAAATTTAGCTTTGCTTTGGCCACCGAACAAGCTAAAAGCTTTATTCTTTTGCACTCACATCCTATGCAGCCTAAAAGTATTTCTGAAACATCTGTGCAAAGATTACTCATACAATGAGTATGAACTGTTCAAGTGCAGAAAGATGTACAGCTTTCATGCTTTTTGAAATAAGGCAGATTTCTGAATTTACCCTCCCCCAACTTGGGATCTCCACTCTTTGCTGGAACTCCTTTTTTTCCATGAGCAAACGGCTTTGGGAAGAGATGTTTCTGTGCTAATCTCAAGACAATTTGAACATCTTGACCTGCCTCATGAAACCTTGTTCAAGCTCTTTCTAACAAGTGGCTGGATTTTCCTCCTTGCCCCAACACCTTTCCTAGCCTCCCCGAAGTCAGTTCAGCCACAGTCAGCTCAGCCTTCCTCAGAGATGTCGTCATTTTGGGTATCTGCCCAAGAACCTGCAGACTGTTCCGCATATGTCTCTCTTATAAAACCTGGCGCTTCATAGATTAACCATAATGTAAGGTTAGATGTTTAAGAAATAGGAAGGCTTTGATCTTTAAGTAGAAATGCAGAGATTAAAAGGCTACTTAGAAAACTAAAGGAAGATTGATAACATGGAAAACTTAATCAAAGAAACTGCTTTAAATTAACTCTTTGAAGCCTGATTCTCTCCCTCCCTCTCTCTCAGTATGCACTAAGTATCCTTTTGGCTGTCAATGTGGAAAAATAACTGATGTCAGACGATGCACTCTGGATATTATGCCAAGTTCCAGTGACAAATCACACAACTATTGAAACGGACGATTAGAGAGCGGGTAAGTGCGTGGGCTGGGCTATATTGCTTCTTTTGTAGGACAGGAGGTGCCAATTGTGCGTGTGATTCATAGCAAGGGTTTTGTGAAGCTGGTGTAGGTGTGCCACTGGAATGTAATGAGGTGTGGGCAAGCCTGGCCTTCTAAGGCCCTGTCCAGAAGGGTAGGAGATAACCAAGGCTGTCTTATTTGTTCATAGGGGAAGTTGTGGTGTTGGGAGCTGTTGCTGTTTGGCAGTTAATCAATGATTTAGACATCATATTCGGTCAGCATAAAAATAATATTTTGGACAGAGTTGCATATTTGAAGTGCAAAGCAGGGAGGAAATCTTAAAGCCACTAATGAATATTTCAAAAAAATACCCAGTTAGGTTAGTGTCAGAACTGATCATAGAGTCTAGTCTCTAGTCTGAATAGCTGGACTCAGGAAAAAAAAAAAAATTCAAAATTTGAACCAAAGCCTTTTTGTGAGCTTTTGTGTTATTTGCAGCCACTGCAGTTTGGAGAAACTCTCCTCCAGACTCATCCTTTTGGAGCTGGCCAAAACCTGTTCGTCTTAGTTAAGTGCAGTGCTCAATTAGAAAGGGATATTATGTGTAATGTCTTGATTATTATGTTTAATGTCTTGAATAAACTAGAAATTAATGACCTAATCACTGCAGAACATCTCATATGGTCTTGTGAGTTATTCGGAGGACATCATTAAAATTAAAATTTAATTTGACAAATCAGAGAAATGCTCTGAAAGTAACTAAGTAAAATTTCTAGTGTCAGTTGTGAAATACTACAGTTATGAGAAAGAACTCAAGTAAAAGTGGGAATAGGCAGGAGTCTTATTTCCCACTGGTTTGTTTATATGACTTTTAACTTGTCAGTTGTCAGGAATCAAATTCCTAAGTATCAACTTTTGTTTTCCACTATGGATCCTGGCAGTATCCCTCAAGAGAAGCTGGTACCCAGAAATGTTGGCAACATTTCTCCTTTGAGCATTTCTATGGCATAACATGGAACAAGGGGGAAACGAGCTACTGATGAATGAGCTGGATCCTGATATCTGCAAATGGCAAGAATCCTTTTTCAAAGAATAACTGCTATAAAGTGTAAAATACAGATGATTCTACATAACAAATCAATTCAAAAGCCAATTAAAATGGCTAATGTGCATGAGGACATTTAGGAAATCTCCAAAATAGTTGCTTATCTCTTCTGTTGTGGAGGTCAGTGAATTAAGATGAATAATAAATTGCAGTTTTTAGGACGGTGTCCTACTGGAATTAAGCACATAATGGTGAAGAATTCATGTGTACCACAGATGGAACAGGAAGAGTAACTGTGAGGAGAACAGAAGAACCTTACCAGATTTTCCTCTCAGAATTTTCTTGTGTACTTTTAGCCAACAAAGTTTTGCTGTTCTGTAACACATTTGAATTTTCTGGGTAGTTTGCAGCATTTCTCTTCTGGTGAGAAGTGCATTTGCTCATGGTGTCTCTCCATGTGAAATACATGAGGTGAAATTCTGGCCCAAATAACTCAGTGAAGCCAGGGTGTTGCCTGAAGAGGATGAGTGACTTGACCAGCATTATGCTGGAGGTCTGTTAGAGGAATGGAGTTAGAACCTGTCATCTGTTTTCCAGTCCCATGTAAACAGAAGTGAGGGGCATTATAAATTTGCCCCATCTGTCATTGTTCTTTGACAGGAATTACTCCTTAGATTTCATAAACCTCACAAATCTACCCAGCTGTCACATACCAATCTTTTAAATTCTGGGCTCAGTTAGAGATGACTACTAAGATCCTGTACTTATAGTTCTTTGACAAAATGGGGAGAGGAGAAAAATAACCAGGACAAACTTTCTGGCTCCTGGCACATTTACGGACTCTGTTCACTTCATGTCTTCTTCCGTCAGTTCCTTTGGCAAAGGGACTATCTCCCCACTCCTTTCCCACCTGGCTTCATGCCATATCTGGTCAGAGTGAATAAATAGCTTTCTACTCTGAAAGTACTAGAAGCTCTGTCACAAGGGAATACTTTTTTCTCTGCAATTTGCAAGACAAAGTTTGTGAAATGAACAAAATTTTACTACTAGAAATTCTAAAAACTCATAGTCACATTTATTGTTCTCACTATTCATAACTGTCATGGGGTGTCTGAATTCTTTACAGTTATGAGCACATTCAGTGACGATACATGGAAAAAATATGGACATATTTATTTTTTGGGGAGTAATTGACCAGAAAAGAATCTCTTGTGAACAAACTCCAGCACTGTACAACAGGCAGAAGAGAAGCCAGCCAGAATTGAGGAACATGAGAAACAGAAATTCTTTGGATGTAGCATGTTGGCTTTTGCCAACATGATCAACTGCAAGTCCACAGCAAGACTCCTCACTT